TGCTTTCACATCGTTCTGTTTTGATAGCTCTACTGACCCCACAGTTGCAGGAAGCAATCAGTTATTAAGGCTATCACCATAACATTTACTGTAGAAATCAAGATGCTTTCAGTTATATTTTATCAAAACCCAATCCAAACCTAAAGTGATAAGTATGATCTCATGTAACAGGAGAACCATGATAATGTTAACTTCAAGCATAGCCGTATACAGGGACTAAGATATTTTTATTTCTTCTCTCACCTCTCTAAGTTGTCTTATTTTCATTGAGATCTACTCTACTAGGTAGGGATCATGTCTTGTCCCAAACAAGAATCCCCACAGTTCACAATGTAAAAAGATGAAAAGTGCTGCTCCCCCTCACTGTCCAGATGAAATCTCATGGAAGCATTCTGATTGGCCATGCTTTAGTACTCCTACACAGGCATGCCTAGCTACGTATGTACTCCCCCTTGAACCCATCACAAAGTCCAGATATATAAAGGAACTCTGATTGCTTCATTATGATCTCATGTTCAGCCCTTGACCTAGAGTGCAACAACAGATTGACAGTACCTCCAGGCCCACATGGAAGGGGGAAAGTGAGGTAGCTATTAAAATAAGGGAGGGGGCATTTTGCTCAGACAAGTAGAAAAATCAAGGAAGATACATAGGTAGACAAATTAATAGTGGTACTTATAGAAAGATAGGTCTTGTGTGGAAGTATAAATAACTCTCTTATCAATCAAGTCAATTTAGCAGCAGACTTTGTGACATTCTGTGCCCTTTTAGGAAGACAAGGGGAGGAAAGTGGCAGATAAACTAAAGAAATAGTGAATCCTGGTTTTTGATATGCTAAATTGGAATAACATTGCAGGTAGCTTCAACAGTGCTTGCTCCTTCAAGGCAGAATCAAGCAAAGAAGCTGAGAAAGATGCTAAGGACAACTTTTCTTTTTGTCTTTGGTTACAAAAAGTATGTTAAAGAAATATAATCCCCAACGCACAGCTCTTATAGGATGAAGGGCATGTGAGTATCAGGCATTAAGTGCTATTATAGCCATTTACAAAGATAACACTAATGACCATTTCCTGTAGGAGTGAATAACATTGAGTCCATTTCCCATGCTGCATAGTTGATTGTGTCTCTTACATCCAAGCTCTTCAGCTGATGCCTTCAAATAACTCACAGCAGGTGTTCTTAAACCAAGGTCAAGTATGGATTCTGTATTTCTGAGACAGTGGAAACTTAGTTAACCCACAGGGGTAGAAATCAAGATCTTTGCCTCATTGGTCCCTTACAGTACCTGCAGAGCTAACTCAATGCAGACCATTTGAGAAGGAAAAAAAAATTTAAATAAAAGATACCTTTGACAGCAATTATATAGCAGCTTTTGAAAGAACTCCATATGATTTACAAACTTTAAAGACAGTTTTTCAAAACATTCTCTTATGGCTGGTAAAGTGAGAGGGTAGTAAGAAGATAGAAATAAGACAAGAGCCCTCTGCTTTCTTCCTCTTCTAAAAGCCTTTCCTTCATCAAAGGAACACATGGCTGCTGAGCAGCAGCTTACCATTTTTCCAGGGTCAGGTCACTTGTCCTGCTGCTCTAAACTCTGCTGAAAGCTAGCTCCTTGGGGAGCCCCAGCTGTTGGGGCTGGCCCCTCTTCAGTCTGCACACACTCAGAAGGAAATGTCCCTTGCTGAGAAGGCGGTGGTGTTGGGGGGAGAATCCATCTACTGTCAGGAAGTATCAATTAAATGTGGATGCCAATTAATTTAATTTATATTTCTGCATGAAAAATGTCATTCCATTATACATGCACTGGAAGGATGCCAGGAGCCCAGGTTAATAAATTACATCTCTACTGACATCATATGGAATCATAAACTAATCATATACTTATTAAATGCCCACCTGTGCTTGGGGCTATACCTTGCAGAAATCCAGTTGAAATAAGATCTGTCAAGTAGGGCCTGTGCCTACCCTGTGATCATCTGACACACACCCTTGTGCTCCTCTTCTCCTAGCTTTAGGCCTGTCTCCTGGGAGCAACTCTAAAAACAAATAATCAATATTCAATTACCAGTGGTTCTGAATGGCTTCACTGGATAAATCAGGGAATGAACACTGAGGAAGTATACATAATCTCCACTTAATCAGGGAATTGGTCTGTTCCAGTTAACAGGTTCCCTGCCATAATTGATATGGATTCACATCAGCTGGTGGAGGGATGAAGGTTATGAAGCTCCCACTATGTGCCAGACTTGCTGCGTGTTTGATTTTGAAGCCTTATGGCAGTCTGTCAAGGTGGGGATTATTCTCTCACCCTACTCCACCCCTGTTTTATTTTTATTTATTTACTTATTTTAAAAGATTTGTGCATTTGAAAGGCAACGTGTCAGAGACAGAGACATATACACAGAGAGAGAGAGGGAGGGAGAGACAGAGAGAACTTCTATCCACTGGTTCCAGTATACACTAATGAAAAGGAGGTCAGATATATGGAGTATCAAGTAATTTGGAGGTTTGATATTTTCCACTAGTAAATATCATCTAACTGAATTCAGGTAAAATGCCCTTTGAGTAAGTCGAATAGACAGGAGCTTTGAATGGGGGAATTAATTATTGCTGTTCTCTCAAGGAAAAGAATCCCACTGTGGCAGGAAGAATATAATTAATGGGAGGTAAGCACCAACAAATCACTCCCTAAAATATTAATGCTATCAAAGAACAGCTGGGTAATGAGAAAAACTTGACCCTTGGGGACTGCAGAGGCTGCTGCTGTAGAACTTTATGTACTTGTGATGTAATGAAATTCCTCTCCATGTTAACAGCAATAACACTAAGAAGTGTGGTTCTGGGAAAGTTATTAGCAGTAAATATCTCTTTGTAGCTTTAGCATCTTATAATTATTCCATCTTACTTTTGCTGTGATTCCAAATTACCTTTCCCCTTCAGTGCTTAGGATATATTTACAACATTAATAACACTCCTAAAAACAAAATAGGGTAAAAAAAAATCATTAAGCCTGGTAAGAACATTTTTTTTTTGGTAAATAAAGGCCCAGTACCTAAAAAAAAAAAAATTCTGCAAAAACATTTTTCTATGTGTTTAAATTCTTTAAAACAATATAAACTGTCCCAAGAGTTGTTGGTTGATTAAAAAAAAAAAGCCCTAACTTAATTTTGTTTTATTGAATAGCTTTTTATTGTCCCAAGAAACATCTATTTCTAAGAGAATACGGTTAAATATTTACAGTCCTACTGAACATGTTAAATGTGTTGGACATTTAGTTTTACAGGGCTATAAACCGAAGGATAATCCCAGTATTTAAAACTTAGAAGTCAGAAGCAATTCTTTAGTTGGAGTACACTTTAGCTTAGATTTCATAAAAGGAGCCATTTTATTCGAAGTTTGTTTGTTTGTTTGTTTTTGTTTTTGTTTTTGTTTTGTTTTTTTTTTTGACAGGCAGAGTGGACAGTGAGAGAGGGAGGAGAGAAAGGTCTTCCTTTTGCCGTTGGTTCACCCTCCAATGGCCGCCATGGCCGGCGCAGCGCGCTGAACCAATGGCAGGAGCCAGGTACTTATCCTGGTCTCCCATGGGGTGCAGGGCCCAAGTACCTGGGCCATCCTCCACTGCACTCCTGGCCATAGCAGAGAGCTGGCCTGGAAGAGGGGCAACCAAGACAGAATCCAGCGCCCCGACCGGGACTAGAACCCGGTGTGCTGGCACCGCAAGACGGAGGATTAGCCTAGTGAGCCAAGGCGCCGGCTTTTTTTTTTTTTTTTTAAAGAATCTCTAGAACAGACTGGACCATCTCGAAGCTGCAGGTGCGACAGGCGCTCGCTGTTGCACGCTGGCATCGCTAGTGCGCAGCCCATTTGGTTTCACTCACTTTGCCAGCATCTGCATCAGGGACAAGGGTACTCAGCGTGTTTGACAAATAGAGCCACGCCAAACACATTCACACATCCCCATAAACGATGAGAGGTAGCTCATGGTGCAGCAAAAATAAATTCTTTAATTTGGCCCAGGTTTCACATAACACCAGTTCATAAGGCAGTTACGCCTCTAAAGGATCAGTGCCCCTGCAAATAGCACATGGAGGACACATCATTTAAAGAAATGTGTTTCTTTGCCCGAACAGAAGTTCAGATCTGCTCAATTGTCATTCATTTTGTTCTATGTCCTTTAGGGGCGCAAACCGCGAAATCAGGCCCAGTTCGGGTGCGCGAGCCTTGGCTGGCGGAGGGGGCGAGAGGCGCGCAGCATAGGGTGGGCGAGGGGGCGACGGGGTGTGGACGTGGGAATACCGTCCCTTTCTTCCGGGAACCATGGTGACACAGGTGGAAAGCTCAGTGATAATGTTGCCGACCCGTAAATATCCTGTTGTGAGTCCCAAACCCCGAGAATCGGTGTCCTAGGAATGAGGAAACAGAAGATCTGACAAACTTCAGTCACCGCGTGGACACACGTGGAACCCCGCACCCTCGACCTCAGTGCGCACGCTTGTCTGGGCTGGGTGAGGGCTGGGGTGTGTGTCCCTGAGGTCCCAGTCCCGCAGGTTTAGCGTCCGGTCCTGGGGGAGCGCGATGGGCAGGGGTGACAGGGGTAGGCCGCGGACCGCGCGTGAACCAGAGAGTGCAGAGGCCCAGCAGCGCTCGCCGCGCCCGCCATGATTAGCTCCATTCGCGACACCCGGGAGGGCGGACTCTCTCTTCAACCTCATGGTCTCCTCCTTCTTCTTCTCCCTCTTCCTTTTTAAGGGACGCCTCGCTGGCAGGGCTGTCAGCAGCTGGGAGGCCATTTGCACTTGGCGGCGGCCAGTCTGACTCCCGCTCCTGTAACAGGCAAGGGCGGGGGCTGGACAGCCGCACGCACGCGGGGAACAAATTCTGCCTCCTTCGGGCTCCTCTTGGGACCAGGCTACAGGCACAAGTCGGGACGCAGTGTGGTCCTGGACTTGGCAGCCCTCGCCCTATGAGATGGCTCCCGTGAGGAGTGGGGAGGGAGGTGGCCGGGGGGATCCGCGCGCCCCTCGTGCCCCTCGCGCCCCTCGCATGGTGAGCCTGGCAAAGGGCGGCAGCAGCAGCCTCAGCGGCAGCCTCTGCCAGCACCTCCCATGGTCCCTCGCCAACTCGCACCCGTGCACCATGCAGACCCCCTGCCTGCGGAGCCCTCAGCGCAGCCCCTGTTGCCTCTCCGGCCACCGCTAGCCTCAGAGGGAGCGGTCAGCCGCCCGTGCCATACCCCGAGGGAGGCGGAACTGCGGTGCCAGGAGGCAGTCCCAGCTCAACCCTTCGCTCTCCAGCTGCGTGCGTCCCCTTCCCCGCCGCCCAGGCATCCAGAGGCGATGGGGGCGCTGCTGGCTCTCTGCCTCCTGGGCTGGCTGCCCTGGGGACCTGCGGGTGCCCAGCAGTCTGACGAGTACTGCCGCGGCTGGTTGGCCGTGCAGGGCAACCACCACGAGGGCTTCCAATGCCCGGACTTCGACACGTTGGACGCCACCATTTGCTGAGGCTCCTGAGCGCTCCGCTGCTGCTGAGCCGAGGCCAACGCCAGGCTGGAGCAGGGCGGCTGCACGAAAGACCGCGGGGAGCTGGAGCACCCGGGCATCACCGCGCATAAATGCCAAGCCCTGGGGAGAAGTCCCCCGCAGGCACGCCGAGAGCGTCCGAGTGCTCTCGGGGGAATGCGCAGGCCTCCCAGGGTCTGTGCGCAGAGTGCACGCAGCAGCCAGGTGGGGGGAATCAAGGGAGGAGTGGGTTTTCTGGCCAGGAGGCCTTGTTCCTTTGCAGCCCTCGCGAGTCCCCGCGAGGGACAGCGAGGACCAGGAGTTTACACCTGATGGTCCAGGAGAGGACGCTGGAGGTCCGGGGAGGAGGCGGTCGGGGTAGCACTAGAATACGGGTGGCTTTCGGGGCGGCGAGGGGCCACCGTGGTGCCAAGGGCGTGGCAGCACGACTGTGGCCCCGCTGCGCTAAGCAGCTTCAACCTCTTTCTTCTTCTCCTTTTCTTTTCTTTTCTCTCTCTCCTCCCTTCCTTCCTCCATCTCTCTCTTTCTCCCACCATCCCTGTAGCGTTTTTAAGACACTGCTCCACTCTTCCGACTTCCTTTCATTTCTCTGCATCGAATGAGTCTCCCCAGCCCACCCCCTATTGTCACGCCTTTCAGCAACACCCAGGACTTGGAGGTTGAGATTTAGAAACTGGGGTCGCAGGGGCCTCCCTGCCCCCTATTCTCGCGTCGAGAAACACGGGTCAAATTTCCGTTCACTTCAGAGGGAAATAAATCACGACCCCAGCATAGGAAATTTACACCTTGAAAAAAAAAGTTTCCACCTCAATCGGACCGTCAGGGAAACCCCTCAGGCTCCAGGCCACGGTTTTATGGTGAGGAAACCCGAGAGGCGGGCTGAGCCCAGAGCAGGGCGGCGGGGGGGGGGGGGGGGGGGGGGGGGGGGCGAGGGAGGGTCGCCCAGGCCACAGCCCGAAGCCGGGGAGGGTCCCGGGAAAGGCTGGCGGCCTCACTGAGGAGGCCCTCCTCCCGAATTGCTGCCTCCAAGGAAAGCGGAGCCAGCCCTCTGCGGGTCCACCAGGCTCTCAAGGGAGTGAATTGCGGGAGTCCGGGATTCGCTGGCCCTGGCCTGCTTGTTGATTAAGTGAGTGTGTGAGTGCTTGGCGGGGCGCGCCATGAGGGCCTCCATTTACCTCCCTTGCCTTGCTCCACAGTACCATTAACCGCGGGAGAGTGGGTGGCCGGCAAGGGCTTAGACCTGGGAGTCCCCTGAGGTTGTAGGCTGTCAGCCACTGGCTGTGTTTTTGGAAAAGTCAAAAAAGCCCATGGGTAAGACAGCTTAGCATGTCCTTTTAACAGGCTCTCCATGGCACTTGAATCAGATCATGAAAGGGCCAAGTGCACAGTAGGACTTTAGTCAATGCAGGTTTTCTCTTCTCCCTGAGCTGGAAGCTGCATCCCATCGTGGCTCTATCAGAAGGGGAGAGACATGGAGAACTGAACCGGGTCGGGGTGGGGGATGCCAATGGGGTGAGAAATGTCTGTCTAGTAGAGAAAGAGAAATGCTCTCAGAGCTGTTGGAGCCTGGGCTGTGGACACCAACAGTGGTAATACTGAGCCTCCTCCTCCTTCTCCTCAGTTGCCCAGGCAGAGCCTAGGCTTGGGAGACCCTGATGCAAACACTTGTGTGTCTGTTTTCGCCTTGTAGAGCCCCTCTACGTCCCCTTCCTCATCGTTGACTCCATCTTCATTGCATTCATCATTCTGGGCTCTTTAGCAGCTATTTATTGTTGCACCTGTTTGAGACCCAAGGAGCCCTCACAGCAGCCAATCCGCTTCTCACTCCGCAGCTATCAGATAGAGATCCTGCCCATGATCTTGACCTCCACGAGCCTCAGGACACTTTCCAGACAGTCCAGCACAGCCACCAGCTCCAGCTCCACAGGTGGCTCCATCCTTAGAGTCTCCTTTGCCAGGATGGAGCCAAACTGCCTGGTGCTCTCACCTCCCCCACCTTACACCACAGGCCACCCAATCCACCTGACGCAGCCATCTGGTTTCCTGGTGTCACCTCAATATTTCACTTACCGCCTTCAACAGGAGCCCCCACAGCCTGGGAAGAACTGTCCAGACTTCAGCTCCAGTTGACAGGTCATGGCCATGAATCCAGCATGTAGTAAAGTGACAGACAGGTGGAGTGATGTTTCCAATGTCAAGTGCTTTGCTGAGGGAATTTCTCATGTAATTGACCAACGTCTTGGCAGAAAGTGGTAAGAAAACACAGCACTTTCTAGTCTTGAGAAAACACAGCACTTCTAGTCCTGACTACAATCACAGAATGTCTGGCTTGGCAGATGTTATGACTATTGCATTTCAACCCATGCTACTTCTATTCAAAATATGCAACAGTTTGACTTTGAAGTCACAAATTGACTGAAAATGTTTTACTCGACAATTTAGCTGTGCAGTGCTTGGAAAAGGGCTACATGATCCTTTTTCACATCAGTTGTTTATGGAGTTATTATACAAATATACATAAATGAGTGAAGAAAAATACCTAATTGTGATTATCAAAGGATCAGTTAAAAATTAACTATGAAGTAAACTTGAGAAATCAATGAATAACCTATTTATATCTTTTGGAGTAACCTAATAATATTAGCATGTTGGGAACATTAACTTTTTAAATTAATAAGTAAATTTTGTTTTAAATATTATTATCTTTCAATAATTCAAAGTTTCAATAACCACAGGAGGAGCTTCAAGTTTTATGCACTCTTATATATTTGTTCATTGCAACACAGTTTCTATGTAAAGTCATTTCCCCAACCCACCTGAGGGAATATTTATTGCAGACTTTTTGGTCAGCAACATTTAATGTTAAAATGAAAGTTGAACAGTTGGCTCTTAAAACATTTATTTATAAAATTAGTTATCATTAAATAAAAGTTAAAAAAATGAGTTATGTATAAATGTAAAAATTGATATTTTAATATATTTACTACACTGATAGTACTAATTATTTAGTACTCACACTGTAATTTCTATGTTAATGATAATTGTGGCGTTCTAAGTCCAGCTATTGGTGTAATCATCTAATATTACATATCTCAAGGGCCACTGAATTTCATGCCTGATGATTATGTATGTATTTGGGCAAATATCCTGCTGGGTTAGAATAAATAAAATATGTTTTTATGAACTCTATTTGAATTTCAGATCAAAGCACTTCATTTTATCTCCTGAGAGATATTGTTTGTTATTCAATAAAAAGAAATGTCTTTACCTCATATCTTGAAATTAATTTTTTTTCTCCAGCAGGGCTTAGGAGAGCAGCAGAGGAATCGACATATTCAAGCAGTCTCAGTCTGAGGGCTGTACGCAGCCCTTGGACAAGTCCTTTGGTCTGTAGAGTTTTAGCAAAGCAACACTGCTTGTAAGAATCTAGATTTCTGGCTTCTTGTGACATGCAGAAGGGGTGGCATGATGGGTCCTTCACTGCCATGGGGTCAAGCCAACCCTCTTCAGTCAGGGCACCACCTGCCACTGGCTGGCTTTCTACCTGGTCTTCCCCTACCTGGCCCACCTGGCCCCTGCAGTGTGGCCTGGGAGTGCAGGTTTAAATGAATTCATACTATCACATGTCTTCCTCAGTGGTTCTTTCTGAGCACAACTGGGCAAGGATTGAAGTTGGATCTCAGAGAGTGGCTTTGTTTTCTACATGAGGGAACAAGTTCAAAGATTTGCTCAGTCTAATGGCTCTGACTTCCAGTCTCTTGCTTTCTTCCACATCCACACGGGGTCTGGTTCCCAGGTATCTCAAATTACTCCGGATAATTCAAGAAGGAAATAGTGGGTGTGAGAGGGTGGTCACACTCCTACACCATCAGACTGATTTTATGTTTGCTGTGTACTGCTTGTTTTTTCAGTTTTAAGTTCACCTTTATTGAGCTCTTATAATGGGCTGAGCACTCTTCTAATTATTTACATATACTAACTTATCTCCCAAACAACCTCAACAGGGTGGGATTATAATTCCTATTGTACAGATTTGGAAATTGAGACTCAGAGAAATAGGTCCCACAGTTAATCACTCCTGGAGTTCGTTTGCAAAAATAGATTCAAACATCAAGGGGAAACACTTGCTTTGAGATTCTGACATCTCTGTACACAAAATCCACTGCAGAGGTCAAGTGTGAGTTAAATCCTCCAAGGAGGCTGACCCAAGGAGCTCTCCTTGGAACAAATATTCTGTGAGATCCCTTTAACCATCTTAAAATGAAACTCATAACCTAACTCATAATTATAATATTATTGGCAGATAGAAAGGAGCAAGAAAAGGAAAGTAACTTGTTTCAAAATATAACAATTTGAACAGACTCAAAGAACTCAGAGGCTAACTCCTTATGCAGAATCACAGGGGTGCAGCAGCTCCGAATCCGTATCACTGCAGGTGTGTGAGATGGACAGCTCAACACAGTTGCCCTGCTGCTGTTACAGTGATTTTTCAAACAAAGCAAAAGTAGAACTTCCTTTGACTTACATAATAGTTGTATAAGTAGAGAATTTGCTATATATGAAGCCAAGAGTATTTTCTTTATAGGTGTAATGGGATTAATTTTGTACGCCAATAGGAATGGTGGGACATTGCAAAGTCCTGGTCCTGGACATAGAGTATTTATTGTGCAGGTTGCTTCATTCATTGTAGTATCTCTGTTATAACCAAGTTCTACCCAGTGAATGACAGTAGCACACCCACCTCTATCCTCAAGCCTCCTAATGCCACAGGTGCCCCCCTGCAATTCTGCAGTATCCTCCAGAGGATAGAACCATTAGGTTTGTCAGGTTTTTCTGTGACTGTATTTTTCTATCTGTTTGGAGAGCAGTTATGTCCACCAGGCTGATTAACACTAACAAATTCATACAGAGCTCACATCTGCAGATTTTCCTTCCTTAGTAGGATGTCCCAGTCAGCTAAGTTCACTGGCCATATATCATTTAAAATTAGGGAGATAATGCTACCTCATTAGACATCCAGCGATAATGAATCACATTACATTCTTATGTAATTGGTGGCATAGTGCATGTCTTTGACTTTCTATCTAGAAGCTACATAGCTGGTAGTATTATTATTCACAATCCTAGGGTAACAAGGCCATCCTGTGACAGAATTCCAGATGCTGTCCTATTCAACCAGCTTTTTTGGAACAACACTTGTGAGGCACTGTAATAGGACTTGAGAATCCCAAGATAAATGATAAGCTGCACCTCTAACTCAAGGAGCCACTATTTAACAGGGACTTGTGGTAAAAGTTATAGGTGCTTTATGAAAGAATCTTGTTACCTTTTGGGCTCTCTAGAAACACACAGTCAGACAAGGGAGGAGGAACTCATAAACCAACACTTAAACTGCATTGAGCTAACTGTGATGGTTACAGGGGAGTACAGCATGCCCAGGCAGCATGGACAAAGGGCATTCATGCAGCCTGGAAGGATTAAATTTGGAATTGGGCCTTGAGATATGCATGAAATTTGAATGAAGGAGACCAGGGTTGGGTTGGGGGGAGGTGAGGAGGAAGAGATAGAGGAAGAAAACATAGATGGAAATAAGGGGATGAGCATATTACAGAAGTACCCATGGGCATGAAACAACAAAGAATATTCTGGAAAGTAGACACAATCCAAAAGATAAGTGAGGGTGGAGAGCTCCTGAATGCTAGGGTGGTGGCTGGGAAATGTGCCAGTTGCAAGACAGACCTTGAAGGGTTTTACAGAGGGCAGTGGCTTTATCACATCTTCTTTTTGGAAGATTAGACAGCAAGGGTCAACCCAAATCACTTGGTTTTCCACAGGGATATTCACCATAACCTGCCACAACACCAGAATGCAGCAAAAACTTGTCTGATGGATGTTTTTGTTACTTTCACACTCAAACAAACACAAAAGTGAGCCTCAATATCTTCAAACCATGGTTATTATTAACAGTGAAAGCTCTATACCCTAAAAGATGGTTATGTCAATAATGAATAACATTTATTAAGCTCATGTGTATTCTGAGTGCTTTATGGATTGTACTGTTTCATCTTCACAACCCTGAAGCAGGGACTATCATGCCTGATTTGCAGATGAAATCAAGGCAGGAAGGTTAATCACGTCCAAGGGCAGATAATAATAGGAGAGCCCAGATTTGAACCCAGGCATTCTGATTTGAAACTACAATTTTTGTGACATTAGGCTTAGAAAGCCTACATTTTTCAGGAAAACATATCCATCCTAATTTCAGAAAATCTGTGGGAGAAACATTATTAATTGTGTAATATTTTATCCTGAAAATATCAGGGGTTTGAAATAAGTAGAGTTTGTGCTACATCATGAGAACATAGAATACAAAAAAGCTTGAATAGAGGTACTGGATGATAAATGTTTCTCCCCATATGCATGTGAGACACAGGGCACAAAAGGTTGATTTAGCTTTTAATTAATTTATTTGAAAGGCAGAGAGACAGAAATTTTCTGTTGACTTGTTCAGTCCTCAAATGCCCACAACAGCTGGTACTGGGCCCACATAGGTGACAGGAACCCTATTACTTGAATCATCACTGCTCCAAAGTGTATAAGCAGGAAGCTGGAGTCCCAAAAGAGCCAGACCTCAAACCCAGGCACTCTGATGTGGTTTGTGGGCATTGTAAGCCAGTGTCTCAACTGGTGCCTCAAATTTCTACCCTTAGCATGGATTTTGAGATTTTGAGTTTTTCTGGCTCTATCTCTTAAAAGAGGAGTAGCTTTTGAGTATTGTCTTTCTCACCCCTTCTTCTCTTTTAAAAAAAAAGATTTGTTTGAAAGGCAGAGTTACAGAGGGAGGGAGGGAGGGAGGGAGAGAGTGAGCAAGTGGGCGTGAGCTTCCATCTGCTGGTTCACTCCCCAAATGGCTGCAATGGCTAGGGCTGGGCCACACTGAAGCCAGAAGCCAGAAACTTCTTCTGGGTCTCCCACATGGGTGCAGGGGCCCAACCACTTGGGCCATTTTCTGCTGCTTTTCCCAGGTTTTAAGTAGGGAGCTGGATTGGAAGCAGAGCAGCCAGGACTTGAACTGTCACCAACATGGGATTCTGGCATCTCAGCCAGTGGTTTAACCTGCTATTCCACAAGGCCAACGCCTTGGCTATTTTCTTAACTGCCTTTTTCAAAAAAATTTATTTGCATGCATTTCACAAACACAACATTGGGAACATAGCAATTTTTCCCACTGTACTTGCCCTCCCACC